AATAATTAATAAATAATCAAATAATATTAAAAAAATACAATAAATTATATTTCATTAACAAAATGTGTGTGCGTTGTGTGTGTGTGTGTGTAAGTATGTGTGAGCGCAGTGTATATGTCTACGTGTAATTGTGTGTGTGCAGTGTGTGTAGTGCGTGCGTTTGTGTGTGTAATTATAATTATATGTGTATATTTTTGTTACAGAAGACAAGGGAAATAAAAAAAAAAGATCGATAAGGAGAATATATAGGTTAGGGCTTTTGAAGAGAAGATTAATTAGAGTTTTAATAGAATTGTAAAATATTTTGGGGTATAATTGTCATATTGTAAATTTTATTAAAGATGATTTTATTGAGCGCTTTCAGTTTTCAGAATTAAGTAATGGATCTCATACTTAATATTGTAGTCTATTTTTAAGGAGCACTTAACATATTAAGAGAGTTTAAATTTTGGTTATCAAACGAACTTAATTAATAAGTGCTGAATGCATTAATTTTAAGTGCTGAATTTGAGTTAACAAACACACCCTTACTTAGTTAGGATAGTATTTTATCATTGAGGAGAATCTTCTGTCTTCAAAAATTTAAAAGTACCAAATTAATTCTTCCGAAGACATATCATATTTTACTCCCATATGAATTGTGTAAATCTTTTATGTTAAAGTAAAAATTGAGGGTGAGTCCCTCTAGATAGACTTATAATGACTTAGATCTTGAAAGAAAATTTATTTTGGGGTAAGTCTATGTTTAAACTTATATGTAGGTACTTAAGTCCACTTATTTTATAAATCTCAAAAATACCCCTAATGGTGTTAGTTTTGTCCAGTTATGAAAAATCACACAGATTTGATAATTGAGGTATATATGAAAACCCTTGATTCAGTTATATATGAAAACTGTTTATTAAATATTGTGATAATTAACAGAAGTTTTATATAGAAGTTATATATTCTGATAGTTATATATGAGAAGTTTAATGTGTGAATAAATTATTGGTGTATTAAGTCAAAATCAGATTTCAAAATTTCCTTAACAACAATAATGCATAATATAGGGAGATTGAACAATGCCAACAGAATTCAGTAACACGAATGTTAATATATAGTAGCATTCATGTTACTAAATGATTGAAGTTACAATTAGGATTGTGTTACCTGTACAATTGCATTACTATACTGACACTAATGTTATTATAGTAAATTTTAACATACAATTGCAAACCTTAAGACGTATATTATGTAACATACACTTTAATATTCACAGTAATATCAAAATTTTGTACTCAATAACATCTAATTTTATAAAATATAAGACAATAGTTTTTTTATAGTAACATCAACTTTCAAATGATTTTAGTGAAATTACGATCCACAAATTGAAAATTTACAAAATGACGAGTAGTAACAAACAATCAATAGTTGAATTACGACACTCAATCCCAACTGTGAACATCAAGATATTGAAATTTTGAACTCTATTTTTCAGTTCACGTACAATAACATAAACTTTCTCCATAGTAACACAACTAAGGAATACTCGATTGTCTTGCGCAACCAAAAAATCAACAAAATCAAAATCTATAACACTCTAATTTAGTACTAATGTATGAGTTCTCTTAAATTTTAGTTACAAGGTTTATGCCCACTTTGACAAAATTAAATTCTTAATTGTTATTACTTTTTTACTATGTTACTATTTTTTGTGAGTATATTACTATTTTTTTTAGTGACCATGTTACTGTCTTTGTTGAGTATGTTACAATTGCTATTTTTTAAATATTAATTTTCAATATTAATATTTTGTCGATAGAGTCCAAACTAAACTGGAATAGTAAATTAAAATTGTATTTTATAGAATGTAATGAGTTTGAATTTTGAATATGAATGATTTTTGATAAATGTCGGTTTCTTGTTTCTCGGATAAGGAAACATTGTAACTTGGAAGATTGTAACTGGATTTGAAGGCGATCATGAAGGAGATGTATATGACTGGTTATTGTGTTCATAAACGTCGTTTATGACATTCCTACGGGAAAGGGTTACAATAGTAAAATTGATAAAAAATAAACTTAAAATCAAATAAGTTTCTTTGACGGACTTATTTTCAAATAAGTCCATATAGGGGGACCGACCTCCAAATTTCCCTATGTTAAATCTAAGGTAGGCCCATAGCATGAAGACTTCCTTTATCCCCACAAGCTATTATTTAGAAAATTTTGATGACTCTATGTGTCCAAAAGAAAAACTTATTTAGGTTTTAGAGCAATATTATGGTTACCAAATATTTTTATAAAATCTCTATCCCAAATGATGTGACACATTTTTCACCATTAGAGAAGTAGGTTTTATTAATATTGAATGATGAAGATTGTACCACTTTATTTGGGATAGAAGATTTGGTAAACAAATTTGGCAAGCATAACTTTATTGTAGGGTTAAACATCTTCAACCATTTTTTGCATCTCTATATTAATATCTTGCTTCAGTCATTTACCGTATGTCCTATCTTCAACAACACTAAATTACAAAGTTCGTTGTTTGACAAAGTGTTACTTTTATTTATTTCTTGCTTCTTTTTTTTATGTGGAGTAACTTAAGGGTGCGTTTGGTAACGTTTTTATTTTTATAAAAAAAAGAATTTATTTTTATTTTTTGTGATAAAAATTAAAAATATAAAACATGTTTGATAGTCATTTATATTTAAAAAATTATATAAACAAAAATAAAAAATATGTTTGGTATTATATATTTTAGATAATATTTTATTCATATTATTTTGATTGATATTTTAATCTCAAATACCTCAATTGGAGATGTCACAATTGGAAATGTTCTTTGTGATAAAAATAAAAAATAAAATTGGAGATATTTTTGTTGACACATAAACTCACAGACAAGATGTTCTTGCTGGGACATACACACACAAAAAAAATACACACAAACACACACAAATCTATATATACAACACATGCACACACAAGGAAGGCTTATTTCTATAAGAACCCAAATTGATTTGAAAATATTCTTTAATGAATTCAACAAGGAAATAGTAAAGATTAACTCATAGAAAAAGCAATTCTAGATACTCAAGAGAGAAATAATAAAGATATTTTTTGATGAATGCTATTATAATATGTTTGTAATTGTGCTATTACTTGATTTGAAGATTCATTCAACTCTTATATTATGCTATTAGTTGATTTGTATTTTTAATTTTGTAGTTGATTATGTTATTTGGTGTTGGAACTCTGGAATTGGAAGACCTTAATTATTTGATATTGGATACAGTTTTGATGATTTTGGAGTTCTGTTTGATCTAATATATATTAAGCATATTATTTTCATAATTATTGTGATTTTTTAACCTATTTACTATTATTTGGCCGGTTCGACCAGTGACCCAATGGTTGAACTAATAACTCATTGATTCAATTCCTTTGCTGGGTTGATGTCTGGGCCGATTTTTAAAACTATGCTAATAGGGATGCGCATGTGTTTTTAATTTTGGATGTTTTCAAAAAATTATTTTTGGTGTTTACAGATTTGAATCTTATTTTCAAAACAGTGGCTTAAAAAAAAATAGAAATACATCACAAATACGTTATTGTATTTTTTGCAACAAGTAAAAAAAAAAAAGAAAAAACACAAACACACGGCTACCAAACCACACCTTATTTTTGCATATATATATTTTTTTAATATTTTTTTAAAAATTTATAGGGTGAATTACACCTAGACTCCTTGAGATTTGTTACTTAATTACTCATACTCCTGATATTTAAAATATTACACATAGATCCCTTAATTTTGTACGCACATAACATTTAGACTATATAAATATATCAGTTAATGAATTATATTTAGACCCCTTAAAGTTTGTAAATATATAATACTTACTCCTCTTAAGTTTAAAATATTATATTTAGATCAAAAATGATTAAATCAAAGATAAAATATCAAATATTTTAAATTTTAAAACTAAAATTCATGTTATATTGTATCATTTATTGAAATAAAATCAAAAATAAAATTTTAATTTTTTTTCTTTAAAATCGTAATTAGTATACAATTATATTATCGATTAAAATTTAATTTAATCGTTCAAACGACCAAATTAATATATCAAACTAATCCAATTAAAGCTAAAAGATATTGTGTCAATTACAATTTGACTCATTGTTTAATTTTTTAGTTTCATTCTAATAGATAGTATAATTATATACTAACTAATTTTTTTTTTAAAAAAAACTAAACTTTTATTTTTGATTTAATTATAATAAATGACATAATAAAATATGAATTTTGGATGACATAAATGACATAATCATTCATATTCTATTATGAATGATTTAGACCTCTTGTTTAATTTTTTAGTTTTATTCCAACAGATAGTATAATTATATATTAATTATGATTTTTTTAAAAAAAATAAATTTTAATTTTAATTTTATTTTAATAAATGATATAATAGAATATAAATTTTGGTTATAAAATTTAAAATATTTGATATTCTATCTTTGATTGAAGTATTTTTTGTCTCTGTATAATATTTTAAACTTAAAAATTCTAAATATTATATGCCTACAAACTTTAAGAGGTTTAAATATAATTTATTAACACATATTTTTACATTAGGGACATATGTATTATGCGTGTATAAATTTTAATATGTAGTATTTTAAATGTCAAAAAATTTGAGTAATTAAGTGATAAACTTTAAGCGAGTGTAATTCTTCCAAATATATATATTTATACACAAAAACCCTAAAATCCCTATCGCCACCTCTTCTTCGTCGAGTCTCTCGTCGCCTCTCTCGTCGCCTCTTCTTCGAAGTCACGAGCCACAAGCATCCCAGGTTCTCTCTCTCTCTCTTTCCCCTATCCTCTTTGACTCACTGTATGACAGTCTCTGTGAGTCTTAATCTCTTTTATTTTTCTGAAATTGAAATCATATGATGGGAGTTTCAAGAGTTTTTTTGTTAAGCTAAATTATAATGGATTTTAGTCTTTGATTTATATCTCATTATTGTACTCTAAAATTTGGGGCCTTTTTAGTATGTAGGGTTAAAGGCCATGCCTTCTTTTTGATTCTACTGTTGAGCCGGCAATGAGAGCGGCTTCTATAGTGCTTTTCGTTGTTGTGTGGATATGAAATCACTGCATTGTTCTTAGTTTGTCTAATCGTTTACATCCGAACTTTTTTCTTTGTTCTGCATCAAAATGTTATGAATTATAATTATTGATTTCTGCGTCCTTTCTTCTTCATGAGTTTCTATGATTGTTCCATGTTGATTTTCTGTGTGTATATATGTTTATGAATGTGTAGATTACTTGTATATACCTGTCTCTGTGTGTGGGGTGTGTGAGGTTTGAATAAATGTATGTAAAGCATGCATGTGTATGTTGTCCCCTGTGTGTCCAAATTTCGATGAGTGGATTTCATTGCTCATTCCTTGTCAGCTGGTGAATTGGTGCCTATATAATTATTTGAACTACTACCCTGACAGTGCTACTTTTTATGTAATGGTTCTGCGAGGTGTATAGTTTGGGATCTAACTGTTGCCTGTTGGCCATGTAAATGGGTCACATTAACTTGTACTTTCACATTTGAAATACCGGATGGAAGACTTGTAGGCATATGTGATAGACACTAGTCAAGTCTCTTGTTTGAGAGTTGAGACAAATAGAGTGCTCAATTCACATTTCCTGCTGTACGATTTTTATGAAGTGGAACAGGCAATCTGCTACCTATTATGTGAGGTTAAATGTAACTGAGAAATTGTATATTGAAAAATATTCATATGACCTTGAAAGGCGGCCCCTAGTAGTGGTGATTTAGTTATGACTTTGAATGATGAATTGTTAGTAAATCACCATAATTTGTGTCATTATCAATTTATCCGAGTTTTCGGCAACCAAAGTTGCACAAATAGAAAAGCTTCTATTTGCGTGGATGGCCCTTCATAACGGCATTAGGGTCTAGCAGCGCTCTAAGGCTTCGATGTACTAGTACTTGCACCAAAACATTGTGAAGAATTTAGTGTCTTGAAAGGCAGTAACACAAGGCAATTCCTTGAATGGTTGTTGGCTCTACGGAGGAGTATGAAATGAACTTGTAACTGGTTGGGCATTGAGTGTTCCGTTGCTTGAGGAAGTATGCCTCTAAAATTAAATGTATTTATTAAAAGAACATGTTGATATGACAAATTAGTGAAAAACTTTCCCATCCTATAATATTGCCGAGGCTTGAGTTTCTACCTATTATTAACTCTGATCCATCTATGATAATTGTCAATCAGATCTGTCAAGATGTATACATCAATGAAGAAGATCCACAAGGATAAGGACGTTGAACCCACTGAATTTGAGGAGACTGTTGCGCAGGTCAGATTGCCGCTGATATACATACATACATACATACATATATAGATAATTTACATTCTCTTTTGTAAATGCCTATGCAGGCATTATTTGATTTGGAGAACACAAATCAGGAACTTAAAAGTGATTTAAAGGACCTGTACATCAACTCGGCAGCGTAAGGATTGCACTGCTTGAATGTCCAACATGACTTTGTGCTGTGTGTGTATGTGGGGACTTCTATGCGTGACAATATTCTTTTCTGTACTTTGTAGTCAAATTGATTTGTCTGGAAATCGCAAGTCTGTTGTCATCCATGTTCCCTATAGATTACGGAAAGCATTCCGCAAGATTCATCTTAGGCTTGTGAGAGAACTTGAGAAAAAGTTCAGCGGAAAGGTATTGCTCAATTTTTATTCTATTGTAGTGCTGTACTCGGTTATCATCCTTAAGAATGGATTTGTCATGTTCATATAAGTGTCGTTTTGGTGATCAGGGCTAATTTTTGTGGTTGGAAAATCCTGGAAGTCAATTGTAATATTGTTAACTGTGCAAGGCTTTTGAGAGGAAAGCGACAAATATTTTGTCTTGGAAATGATATGTTTCTTTGCCAATGTCTTGGAGTATTGGTTCTGAGGCTACGTTATCTCATTGTACTGGTTGCATCTGTGTAACTAGCATTGCCCTTGGCAGAAAGTCTCCTAAAGAGATTTTCGTTTGACAGTTAATTTCTGGGGACATTTTCAGAAAATTGTGGTTCAAAAGAACATTTATTGGAATCTCATGGTGAAGGAATTCTACAAAGGCACCATTAAGATGATCATACACCCAATTCGGAACCAAAACACCATGTTGCGTCTTCTTTCGCTCTATTGATTTACAGAGACTACAGAAGATGAATTAGGATGAGCTGGATCCTGTATAAGTTTTTGCATTAATTATGCAGATGCAATATATTTAGTTTTCCCTTTGTGGCTTCTAACAGCACATTAAATTAAATCGTTCTGGTATGATTGGCAGGATGTGGTTCTTATTGCCACCAGAAGGATAGTACGACCACCAAAGAAAGGTTCAGCTGTTCGAAGACCTCGCTCCCGCACACTTACAGCTGTTCATGATGCAATGCTTGAGGACATTGTGTATCCTGCTGAGATTGTTGGAAAACGCATCAGATACAGGATTGATGGGTCAAAAATCATCAAGGTACTTGCATCTACTTTGTAAGGAGTGTCAATAAAAATGTACTCCCAAGACATAAATCCTTTCTAAAGCAAAAAGATATATCCTCCTGTTACATTTTTTTCATCCATGATGTACTCCTACCATATCCTTTTTTTAATATTCTTTGGTCTTTGCAGATTTTCTTGGATCCCAAAGCAAGGAATGACACCGAATACAAACTGGAGACATTTGCTGGAGTTTACAGGAAGCTTTCTGGGAAAGATGTCGCCTTTGAATATCCAATGACAGAGGCTTAAGAGCTGCTGTTAATGAGTTTTACTGTTTCTATTTCTCTTTGTCAAAGATTTTGATATAATTGCATCTATTATGGGCTATCTGAAATTTTGCATGAGAGTCGGATTGATGAACTTCTGCATGGGAAGCAGGAAAATATTAAAGAAAGTTGCTCATTTTCTGCTTGCTTTTTAATTTGAAATTGTAGAAACTCTTATACATGTTTGACGAGTGAACTTTGTTCCTTTAGGTCACTAATGGTTACCATAATCTTATTGTCATGCTTGTTTATATTCATTTTCTGTTTGTTTGCATGATGGCATGTAGAAGATACGTTTTCTAGATTCAAATCATAGTTTGTTTGATTATAAAAATATCGTAAATCCAGTGAACGTTTACTTCTGAAAAATGTTCTCATAATTTTACAGTTTTTGTTATATATCATTATTAGAACATATATATGCAGGTCTTGGTACCAGTAACATACGTGAACACAGAACAGAACCATAGAAAGCAGTGCTTCATGGCATTAGAAAACAAAAATGAATCAATTCACTTGCCCTGAGTAGTTGTGTTCCCATTTTATAGATTCAAAAAAACTTGCTGCTTACTCTAGCGCTATACAAGTGTAACTTAGAATCCTAAAAGAATTGCTACAAAACCCTGTGTTGTATTCCGCGAACTAGCCTAACAAAGCATAGTTTCTGAACAATTGCTTAGCCTGCATTATGAAAATGGCCAAGAAAGCTGGGTTTTTAATTTCTGTGGACGGTCAGGCAGAGAGCAGCAAACAGAAGAGTTGATGAAATCAATCAGATTTTAAAAAATAAAAAATCTCATTTTTCTTCAACACTTATCATTCAACAATGCTATTTTCCTATATACAATATATAATGATAAGGCAGAAGATGAACCCCAACTATGATTAGGTCAAAAGAATCAGGCCATGACCAACTTAAAAAAAACAGTCCAATGTGAATCTGATGAACCTATGGTTGATGTCTTGAGAAGCATACAGCATGTTAACAAAGGAAAAATAATCAAAATAAGATATTGTAACAACTTTCTTCTCTGCAATATCAAAGAGAATTCGAGTGCTAAGTCCACTACACCTGAAAAGATAACAAGTTATTAGGTAGAAACATCCTGAATAAGTCATCATACAAAATCTCATATATACACGGTTTGACTGAGATGCAGATGTAAACACCTGAGGAAAGTTTTCAGAAAGTTCACACTTGAGAAAATGCGGAAAATAAATAATGTCAAGAGAAGTTAAGCAAATAAATCTCAGGGTGCAGGGGTTTATGGGTAGGTGGAGGGCTTCCCTGCGTCGTGTAGCGCATTCCATTGACAAATAAACAAATAAATGACAAAAGAAAACATTAATAAGGTCATATTTTGTGCTGGTTTATCCTCTTATTTCTTTTGTATGGTCAATTATTGGAGTAGACTGTAGACATAATGATGGTAGATTGTAGCGAAGACCACAAGGGTTCATGCCTTATCAATCAATAGGTTCACAAGAGCAAGGTATAAGTCATGTATTTGTCATGACATTTCAACCCATTTTACAAACTCTACACCGAGACATAAGCATTGCACTTTGTGATGAGGACTTTTGGAAGTCGGAATGAGTGCCCTCCAAATTTCCATATTGCAATTGCATTTCCCATACCTTGTTAATGTGTTCCATTAAACACATTAACTTAATAAAGGAACTGAGGAAAAAAACCAGTCAGACTGAGAGTTATTCTGTGGTTCATCATCACTCTGGATTTCAATAGGAATTTTTGAAGATCCCCATAAAACGTGTGAATAAGTGCTTAGATTATATGCTGCTAATAACCCAATCATTTACTAACAGGAAAGGGTATTTAGAAACAAAAGTAGCAGGCAGGGTAATCCGATATCCTGGAGTACAAGATCATTGTTCAGATTAATCCACAGAAGAGGAAACACAATTTAGGACTTCAAATCCAGCATTCTAATTATGATCAAAGGAAAAAAAGCATGGCTGTTTTATGTGCAGTTTCTTTGATCAGATCAAACCAGAATAATTCTGTATTTGGGGCGGAGGAAGAGAGGGAAGGGGATAATCCCATATTTTTGCATTGAATCCATAAGAACATCACATGCAATTTGGTGAATCTATTCATATAGGCAGCTAGTTTTGTAAAATAAGATTGTACCTCAAGACAAAATGACAAGACCAAGGTATATGGCTCCACCAAGAAATATGAAAGATATCATTCCCCTGCAAGTAGTGAGCAAGTGAGAAATATTAGGTATAACAAAAATACAGACATCTTAATACAGCAAAAAGAAAATTCTCAAGAGTCAATTGCTGAGGATCTTTTTGGTATAAAAAAAACTTACCATATGACTCCCCATGCAGCTCCATTACAAGGGCAGGGACAAATTTCTGCAAACTTCTCAGCATCACTGGAGTTAACTCTTCTAGATATTAGATCATCATAAATATCTGCATCATTAGATTTTTATCATATGATATTCTAGTTCATCAAGAAAAAACTTTCCTAGTTAAATTACTTTCTGGGAAACAAATAAAAAACTTTCCTAGTAAAAGGAGGAGGGATTATACCATAAACCGAAAACAGACTGTTCATAACACCTGCATTTTATCAGATTGCACATAAGCAACATTTATCATTGATCAATAGACGAAATCCAAGAAGCGGGCGAAACCAGTTTGGTAATGAGTTCAAGTAAGAAAAGGGAAAAATATAATAAGATCACGCCCATACCAATAAAGAGAATGATGTACCGAAGGATACGGACTGTGGTCTTCTCTTGCAGAACCCAAATAATTGCAATAAAAATGATAAAACCTGTGGTTCAGTATTTAAGCATCAATTACGCAAACATAGAAGCCGTTGCATATCATGTAGAACTGATGAAGATCTTAAAAGTACTGACCGATGCAAAGTCCTCGCAGTGTCCACTGTTTCAACAATAAAACAGAGCAATTAAGATTGTGCACAATTGAGAACTTTAGAACATAGCTCTCTCATGCATTTTCAAAACTATTAAGTATATTTAAAGAAACCTGGATCTGAAAAGGGCACATAGGATATAATTATACATCTTATTATCTTCTTACATTTTTAGCAATGAAGAGCACAACAAGCAGAGCAACAATAAAGCAACCAGCAGCAATTCTTGCACTGATAAGATTTGTGGATGCAAGTATGAAAACCATTCCCCAAAATGATGAACCAAGATCTGGATGCAAAAAGCAGTTACACAAACTATTAAATAAGCACAAGCCAAATTCAAGGAAGAATAGTCAAATGAGTAGTAACGAATACAAATAAAAATCCACATAGTTGCAATTTCATAATTTATGGTACATCAGGAGTCGATTTTATGGACACTGTAAGCACATGAAAAGAAGCACAATTTTAATGGGAATGGAAAATGCCAGAGAAAAATGAGTATTACATCCAGCAGGCAAGATCAACCAATATACACCACCACGTGTTTTGGTAACCCCACCCTCATTTGCATGAACCTCAATTCCCTCCACCTGCATTTCAGAGTAGATTAAAAAAATTCAGTGCCCAAGTCTGTAAAAATAAAGGCATCCAAAAACTGTCATGAAACCATAACCAGGTCTGACGTAGGTTCCTTGGTCATTGATGTGTGGTTTGGAATGAAAACCATGTGTGACATTATAGAAGTATATTATGTCAAACCATCTCTTCGCATATGAGATTCAACTGGGAGAAAACATGACTGGAGAAAGAGCTTTTACCTTACCACATGTGAGCATACAAGCAATTGCATGGCTTGCTTCATGAAGAAATACTGTGATGAGCTTAAAAGGTGTCAGTAATATTGTCCTCCATAGCTGTTAGGACCATTAAAAGGAATGAATTAAAAGAAAGTAGAACATCAAGAAAAAAAAAATCCCAAAGAAGTGGCAGACAAAGTTGAAGCCAAATGAAGAATGACACATTATTTCCTCACAAAAGATGTATCATCTTGTATATTCATCCCATTACATTGTGTTTACAATTGCAGTTTTAGGTCTCAAGTCAACATCACAGTTCCTTAGCGGAATATATATCAAGTGCATGAATCTTTTCCTCTTTGTTTCCCACTTTGCTCTACCAGGCAATATGCTCCAATAAAGTACCAACGAATCTTGTACATTTTTTATCTTCATTACTTGTCCCTTGTTTAAACATACTACTCTTCTTAAAGGATCAACTCCTGTTCTCATTTGCGTGGCCAAACATTTCCAGCCTTCTTTCAGCCATCTGTTGCCACCTCTAATTCCTAATGAGAGCCAATTTTGCATGACTTGACCTTTCTTCATGTCATCATCATTGTCACATATGCTGATTTTCCCTTCACATTTTTGTTGTGAATCATCCTAAGCATTAAAAATAGCCAGGGAAATAGTTGACTCACTATTTTCCACAACTAGAAAGAAGCAAACAAATAGCATACAAAAGATAGTAGTGTTAGCAACTTGAAATTATGCAGTGGTACTTGTTCGGCTTCAATTTTAAGGATTCGTTCAAAAACTTAGTTAGACCATACGATACCATACGATATACATTTCCATATGTTGGTTCGCTACTGGCACTTATGTACTAGTTCTTTAGGATTCCTTGTTAGTTAGGTGGCAAGGATTGTCCATTAAAATGGCACACTGGTAAACTTGGAACGGTCAGTTCAATCATTGCTCATAGAATTTATACATATAGCTCACCCTTATAGCTTATGAAACACTTTAGTCACTAGGGGAAAAAAAGGGGATAGATGACTGAAAATCCAGCTTAGAGGTAACAACTATAAGCAAATGTAAGAGTTTCCATCCATCATCTCTGTTGAGGTCTCAATTTACCTGCCAATTAAGGTTGATCCGTTCGATTGAAACCTCCATTATCTTCGGCAACTAAGGACGAGATTACCATCACCACTACTCGTGCTAGTTAATCCATAACGAAGGTACGAGTGCTAAAGAATCTGCTACTAACTCTATTAATGATGCTATAGGTTATGGATCTAGTCTAATATGCTGCTACCTCTATCTAGTAAGGGCTTTGCAGCTATCTTTGGAAACGGTTCAAAACCTAAGTAGAGTTTCTTTTAACAAAAATGGGATCAAGTAAAGATGCAACTACAACTGATTTACAAAAGCCAAAATGATAGAAAGCTGCCCTTCAATCGCTGAGAGTTTTGCTAAGAACGTTCAAAATTCACTCTAGAGGAAAGAGTTATCCGAACTCCTAGTAAACCATGAAGAGAATTTCTCATTTGTTTTAAGTCAAACCTTACAAAAAAAGTATTTGACAAACATAAATGACATCAAAAAATGCCGGGAAAGTTTGCGCAGAGTGTATTCCAACAGCTTACCTGTATTCTGTTTACCCAAAACCTATTCGAATAGGAGACTAGCTCGGCACATGTCCACTACGCTGGTTTTTAGGCGCAGTCGGCGACACCTAATAAAAGTAGTTATGTGCAATAACAATGCACCAACCTTACCATATAACAAAAACAACCATTAGGTGAATATAGAGCAAACTGGAGTTATATTCCATCCTTTGATAGAGTAACGCAGTTATTTGAGTGAAATTGTTTGGTGAATTTTGTGAGCTGGACATCTATTTAAATTCTATTTGTCGGGATAAATAATTGAATGAAACTTGGAATGAATGAATTAATTAGTGAAATTAAGATAATACGACAGACAAAAATCTAGCAACTTCCTAATATTTCTTACCAAGCGACTTCATTCGAGTCCTCCAGTAAGGGATAAAGTAGCGTCTACTAGCACAAGATGTTGCTATACAACTACATGTTGGGTTCAACGCACTTATGTCCCATAAGAATTTGCTCTTTGGCTAACCCGCTCGTTTCTATAGTGCTCAATGTCAAAAATGTTCAAAAATCATATGCAGTGGTTGGATCTCAGGGTATCTTTCGGCCATTTAGAAGTTGTCAAATGAGTATAGTAGCGTAAGGTTTTCACTTCCATGAGGTGAACAAGGTTCAATTGTAACCCAAATGGGCATAGGGAGTAGGAGAACAGTAGCCAAATCAAATTCCATGATAAGAGACATAAGGCTAAATTGACAAATGATTGACATTCACTTCCGTTATCATTCCCAAGAAACTCAATCAATCCAACCCGCAACATGTAAAGCAATACAGACGCTATAGATAGAAAACTGCCAACAGTTTGGAAATCATAGTTTGCAAAGAACAAAGACAACAAAGTCTTTTTTGCCTATGGCGTTCTTCTCAAGTTCCAAGTATTTTCCAAGTCTTTCAACAATTTATTCCTACGTTCTTGTGGTGAATTAAGCTTTTTTTGCTTTCTTTCACTACCCTCTCAATTGTCAATATCTAATTTTCCTTGAAGTTCATCATAGACCCATTATTTCTTAAACGGACCAGTGAAATCCCTACATGGAAAAAACTCTATATGAGAAAACACAAGCAGTAAATCTATGCAAGAAAATACAAGCAATCAAATAAATAAATAAATGAGTGACATATGAACAGCGCTATTCTTCTTTGTAACGCTTCAGAAAATTCAAGGTACTTATTTTGTGTTATATCTAAAAAATTTTCTCTCCCAATTTCTGAAACACCATATGTGATCTCAAAATCTAAGCCCTAAAGAATTGAATTATCACTATAGACTAAACAAGATTCGAGGAGGAATCCAGTTCATTGACCTAAAACATACCCATTAACGTAAAGCACCCTTTTTGGATATATAAAACTCACAAGCACATAAAGAACAGCGAAAAGAATACTCAAAAGCCAGAAAATAAAATATAAAAAAAAAAAGCAGAAAGAGGAAGATAAAGAAAAAGAAAAAAGTCGTACCGCAAGAATCACGAGAGAGAAGACACCGATGGTGACCAGAAAAACAGTCTGGTCGTGCTTACAGCAATTCTTTAGCTCCCAATTCGGCATTGTTCCCACCGAATTGTTGTGGCTTCGATTTTGAGAGAGAGAGAAAGAGAGAGGAGAGAGAGAGGAGTATATTGGGAGGGATGGAGAAATGTCAAAGACCCAGTTGGCGTTGGCGACTGCGTCAGAGAGGGAGAATTTGTGACGAGCGGAAGGTATCGGAGTAGTTGTCCAACCTGGACATGGCAATTGCAGGTTCCAGGAACTGGGCAGGATTGGCCACCATTAAACCGTTGTCTGGTTCTTGTTGACTAGTCAAGTCTTACCAACTGGCTTTGGCTCTACATCACTTCCGCCCCCACCATTGCTCTATTCTACCACCTAAATCTTGACACGTAAGCGCTCCAAAAATATTTTGCCCAAATTAATTTTCCAGTACCATAATCTAAATTTATAATCTAAATTTATTGATTTAATTCATTGTAACTTTTAAATTGATTATGAACTCTATTAAATATTAAAACTTAACATTGACCAAATGATTCTAATGAGGTCACAATATTAAACCAAGTAATTAGTTCCGATTTTTAAGAGGGGTCCACCTTTGAACACTGTATAGAGCTCATAGTCAATCTAATGGTCCGTTTAGTACGAAGGATGAAAAATAGGAAGGAATGAAAAGTGGAAGGAATAAATTTTTCATCCATAAAGGAAAGAAATTTATTTTTCCTCCATTTTGTTTAGTAAGAGGGATGAAAAATAGAAGAGATATATTTTCCATCGTTTTGTATTAGATGAAAAATGAAAGGAAAGGAAAATCATACATACCCAATTTTACAATTCTACCATTTAAATATATGTTTTGAGAAGTGGGTTTTATTAGAAGGTAACAAAGGGCAAAAATATAAATTTATTGGTCAAATTTTGTTGGCTTCTTCCCATTTTTCGCCCATTTTTGGGGGGAAAATAAATTGTGGGTAGGAAGGAAAAACATTCCCTCCAATTTTTCTTTCTATCACTCTTTTTTTCCATACCAAACAATGGAAAGTTTTTCCATCCACCCCATTTTCTTTTCCCCATTTTTCATCCACCCCATTTTCCATCAAAACAAACAGACCATAAAAGTTATCGTAAATTAGGTCTCAAATAATATTGCTCTTTCTAAATTTGGTAATTTCTCAAATTTAAAAGACATGGCACCAATGTCCTTAACAGGCTATTTGTTTTGGTGGAAAACTGGGCAGATGAAAAATGGGGAGTTCAAAATAGAATGGAAAGATACACTTTTCAGTGTTTGGTTTGAGAAAAAAATGGGAGGGAAAGGAAAGTAAGATGGAAACCTATTACTCTGTGCCTACCATAAATTTTCCGCTCCATTTTGGGCGGAAAGTGAGATAAACCTGTGCAATCCAATTTGGTTTTATTCTTTTACCTCTTGTTAAGGTCGTTTATCTCGTTAAAAACTCCACTAATATGAAGACCTCAGATTTGAAAATGCATTTTTTTTTACCTACAATACATCAGATATAATTGCACAAGTAAAAAAAGATGACCATGATTAGATCACTTGCAGAAGAGATTCAAGGCCTTACTTGAAGGGAATAATGGTAAATTAAACATAAAATCTGTTTCTTTAAATTTTCTTTTCCTCCAATGCCCCAAACAATAAAAAAATTATCCATCTAACTTTCCATCTATAATACCAAACAAAAATAAGGGACAATAGTTTTTTTTCCCTTTGAAGATGGAAAACCTGTCATTTCTATTTTTCATCGATCACATTTTCCATCCCTTCAACTAAACGGACCATAAACTTTGTCTATAACTTTTTTTTTTTGTTCAACGGTCAGGAGTGTGTAGGTCAATTTACACGTATCTCGATTAATTTCCTCACCAATCTAGTCAAAGCTGGATCACCTACACTGAGACTAAGGTATTCATGAGAGATAAATCCCTTATGACCTGATCTCATGAGATTGTCAAGATTTAAATTCAGGACCTTTGAGTTTACAACTTGTCCCAATTACCACTTAAATTACCTCTTAGGGTTTGTCTATGACTTTTTTACCATCTTATAGGGATATAAAATAAATTTTCATACTAAATTTGAGCGCCAAAAGTTATGTTGGAAATAATAGTTTTTTAATAAATAATTTTGATATTTATTTGTTTAAAACTATTAAGTATTAAATGAGAAATTGTAAAAGTATTTTTTGTGACTTTGGGAGAAATTAGAAAGGTGTGAAGTAAAGATTGACATGAAAGATTACTAGTTCAAATTAGTGACTTTTGGTTAAAGACATCAATCCAAATAGTTACATACTTTCATAAAATTACCATTAATGTCTTTTGGTTAAAAGATACCATTACAAATAGTCACAACTTTTCATAAAATCACTATTGATATCTCTTGGACAAAAATATACCATTTCAAATGGTTGTACTTTTTCGTAAAGTCACAATTGATACCTTTTGAACTAAAATCTATCATTACATATAGTTGCACCCTTGATGAAAAGTCACTAGTGAGTCTATAAATAGGTGATGCATTGCACTTCCAAATCACACTATTGAACAAATCTAGAATTACTCTCTCATTCTATTTCTCTCCATTATCTTAATTTCTGAATTAAGTATTTAGTCTTTCTTCCCTCTCTCTCTCTCTCTTTGCATATTTCTACATTATTATTTCAAGTTCAGTTCAAGTATAAACACAAAATTGTGTTCGTTGGAGTCTTTAAGATTGAACTGATGCATTTTCAAGAATAAAATTCATTCTATTTTAAGAGACAATTACTTATCAACCTTAAGCATCAAGAGGGAGCAAATATGTCTTACGAAAATTGTGATTACAAAGGACTCAAATTATTATTATTATTAAATTTCTAGATTTTTATTACTCATGCAGTTCTGCGTCATTGTAAGTGCATTATTTCAGTTTCTGTTTAATATTCTGTTTTAATTTAATAGTTTCAATATAACATTAGTAATTAATTCTAATTATATACATACTTT